TAACAACAAGATGAGCTGGCCATGGACCAATTGCTGCCCTGATCTAACCTATTTAACAAACGACTGAGGTCACAAAATTGTTAAAATATGCATATTACTTTGTTCCTGGATAAAAGCCTTAACCAATGAGAAACCAAAGCTCAAAGTTTCCATTTTCACACATGAAAGCCCTAAGAGAAAACGTGTGATTTTAATGTATCTCACAGGGACACAGAAGCTGCTGGTGTACTACTGCCTCCTGTGGCCCGCTTGTGTCACTGAGGGAAATCTGACCAAGAGGCAGCAGAGGTTCAAAGGAACTTTGGTGTCCTCTTGGAACAGTACATTCTATAAGGTGATCAGGCAGTAAACAAATTCTGGTTATTAAAACCAATTGATAGTCAAAGGGAAGAAAATTCATTTGACTAATGCCAGGGAGTCAGAACCGTTACTCCGACTTAAAAGCGCATCAATCCTAAAGACTTGCGCATGGAGTGGGTGGGGAAAAGGCTGGTGTGTGCTGGTTTGCGCATACTTACCTCTGACCTGTGAACATCGTGTAGGCAGCAGCAGCAGCAGCTGTGTAGGAGAAACAGCAGAGTGTAACGATCACATTGGATGTACAGCTAACAGCATCACGCTGGAGTTTGACCACTTGATTATATCAAATACTTTTTTTTTTACACATTTACGTTATTATTATGATTGTCTGTAAACATGATTAAGATACTAGATACTTTGAAAACAAAAGATTACATATTTGGAACTAATGGAAAAATATTAAAAGTTAAACAAGTAAAGAAGATTTAATGGTAAATGTAGATGTGTGATGTCACTGATGACATCACATAGGATTGTTGCAGACAAGTGCTGACTAATGTTTTGAATCTATTGAGATTATTCATTTCAATTTCTTTTAATTTGATAAACTTAAATGTAAACCAACACATTGGCCATATCTGCAAGCAGCAGCAACATCTGACTTTTGTTGTGCCACCCTCTAGTGGCATAAATCTGAAACTACAGGGTATTAACCAGAAGCAGAATCGTGACTTAGTGAAAGAGAAGACTTAGAAACTACAGTTCTATGTTGTTGTAGTTTTAATTATTATTATTAATTTAAAAATATATATGTAAGTCAAAGTCTTACAAAAAACTTTCCTTTTTTAAATTTCATTGGAAATTACAGTTCTATGTTGTTGTTGTTTTTATTAATATTATTAATTTGAAAATATATATGTAAGTCAGTCTTACAAAAAAACTTTCCTTTTTTAAATTTCATTCAGTTTCGACGTCACTATTTATGAATTCGAAAAAAAACTGTATAATAATATAGGCTATATTTTAAAATTGTTAGCACAGACATTGCAATACACCGTACAAGGAATCGTACTTGTTCGTCTTCTTTTACGCAATAACTGGTCTGCCCCACAGGGTGGCAGCAAAGAGTTTTAAACCGAAGCTTTAACGGCCGGAAGTCGACGGTAGGAAAATAGTCATGTTCTTTCTAAATTAATTTTGCAACAAGTATTTAATAGACTTTTAAGGACATACATTTTTAAAACAATTATCGTTTTTTTTCCCCAGCAAAAAAACAAATAAAACAAAACAGGTTTTGGTAGCAGAGTACCTGTGTGTTATGAATGAATAATGTAATCTGAGGCTAGAGTAAAAACACACAAATGGAACAAGAATAAAACTGGGACGTTAAAACACACACACACTCGCTCCCTCTCTGTAATTACACTCCTGAGCTGCTAAAAAGCCCTTAGCAGAATCACAGAGAGCAGAAAATACAGAGTAGGTGGAGGGGTTAAAATGAGGAGGGGGAGGTCAAACAGAAATGAGGTTGAAATTAGGCTGAGGAGGAGAAGGAGGAGGACAAGCAAGGTGATGATGATGAGGAGGAGCGGTGGAATTGAAGGAGAAGGCGGAGGCTTATTGATTCGGTGTGTGACAGGAGGGAAGTATTTCACTTGGAAAGAGCTGGCCTCACATCATCAATACACACACGTACACACACACACACACACACAGATAACATGCCATAAAGATCTCTACAAACTAACCCGTCCTCTGGAACTATTTGTGTTGCCACGGTCTAAGGACTGACCCAGGGACGGAGACAAAAGAGACAGGGGACTTGGTGGAGCTGAGCCTGACCAATCATTTAGCTGCATCAACTGTGTGTTTTTACAGAAGAAGAAGAAGAAAAATAAATCGCACATCTAAACACGAGGGTTTCCAGAACGCAGATGTGTTAAACCTTAATGGCAAATCAAAAGGAAGGTTTCTGTGTTCTGAGGCGCGCTGGAGGAACAAACGTGTTCGCACAGCTGTCACGTAGATGAATGAACAGGTGAAGAACAATGAGAGCCACAGGAAGGAGGAGGTGGAGAAGAAAGAGGAGGCGCACGGAGATCAAGAGCAGCAGCATGGTGGGGAATGAAGGAGGAGGAGGAGGAGGAAAATAAATTACCGGCTGCTGCTGATTGGCTGCTTTATCTCTGCTCTGTGGAGCTGCTCTTGTCGTTCCAGCAGCTCAAACAGACTAACAGAGGGACACTGCAGGGAAGAGGAGAGGGTTGACTCACTGAGCCACAGCAGTATCCTTCTATATTCACATCCTGGGATTTAAAAAAAAAATAAAAAAATACTCAAGCAGCCCAGAAATACAGAGCAGCTGCTGCTGCTGTCACTGTTGCTGCAGCTGTTCATGAAGACAGAGAGAAACACAGGAATCTGAGAGGGAGAAGGAGGGAGGAAGAGGAGACAGCGGTGCTGAGCTGAGTTCAGATGAGATGATGCTGCTGGTGAAATAGCCGACAGAGAACCAGAAGGAAAGCTGTGTGAGTATATGTACTGATTAATGGAGAGTTCTGGATTTTTTTAAAAAAAAAAACATTTTTTCAACAAATTGAAATCAAACCACAGTAGATAATGTAATCTGTAGATTATTTCTAATTTATATTTGTGAAAGAGAAATGTAAACAAGAAAGGGAAATAGTCTGTTTTTTCTTTATCACTGTTTTTTTTAAAAAAAAGACAATTTAATTCTTATTTTTATTGCATTGAATAAAAAGGTTGAAATCTGTCTTTTAATCAGATTTAAAAAGGAAACTGAGGTTCGTAGCTGCAGCCGTTTTCCAAGTCCATTGTTAAGACTGAATATGTCAACAACAACAACAACAACAACAACAAGAACAGTAACGCTAATTGTATTGAGATGGTCGTCTCTGGAATTTTTAAGGCTACACATTTTTTCCAGAGTCAATTTCTGTGCTTCTGTCTGGTTCTGGCAGCAGGGGACCACCACATTGAAGTACCCTAATAAAAATGTATTAATAAAGTCAAACTAACCCTGTTGGGCTTCCAATCCTCAACAGCTTAAACCACCGGCTATACCTATACCTATCATACCATTTTTTTTAAAAGCCTCAGAGCAATGATGTCAAGAAAACCAGATCAAGAATTCGTTCACGTGTCAAACTCTCGCTTTTATCTTCCCTGTGTCCAGGAGAAAACGAATCCTGATTTCACCCTTGAAGAAAATGATGGAGTAGCAGAGGTGATGATGGAGGGATGAGGAGGAAAAGAAAAGAGGACGAGGAAAAGAAAAAGAATGCAACAAGAAAGCAGCAAGGGGATTTTCTGAGGGATCACAGTGTCACCTTTGTGGATTATCTCGACTTTGTAGATGAAAGATTCCAGCTTCGCCCATCAAAGTGGTCTTTTTGTTTTTTTAATTTTAGTCTTTTTTTGTAGTGAGACTTAGAAAAAGTGGAGAAACACAATTTCTATTTGGAAGTTGGAGGAAGTTTTTTTTTTCCCATCAGGGAATCCAAAAAACAACTGTCTTTCATACTTCCTTTTTTCTTTTTTTTCATTTTGTCATTCTTCTCGTTCTGTTTTGTCATCATTCCACCATGTCAAATTCTGATCCTTAAAATAAATTTGGATGAAAAACAAAAATCACCTAAACTATATTTACTTATGACAGTGAGTTTACCATAAAGTTACAAAGTTTCATATTATAATTATGAGACGGTAAATTAATTTTTTTTAAAATGAAGGTGAAAGGGAGTAAAAAGTATCGTCAAAATGTATTTTTAAACAGATAAGACATTTGGCAAAGAATTGACATGTAAAAGAAAAGTAAAAACATAAGAAGGAAAGACTTTGCACTGTGGTTACCAGTAGTAAAAAATTACCTGTATTAAAAAACAAACAAAAAAATTAATTAAAAAAAAAAACAAACAAAATCTGCAAATATTTCTTCCAGTAAATGCATCAGTTGGATCAGACTTATTTAAACAAACGTAAAGTAAAGAAAACATTGATTTCATTTCAACTATTTAAACAAACAGTAAAGAAAACATTGATTTCATTTCAAAGTGTTAAAGGCTTCAAATACGGTGGACAAAATGGAAAAAATAAAAGTCAAATGTTACATTAAGACATGACTAATCAAGCAGCAGAATGATTGGTTAATTTGGTCAAAGGACTGGTTGAACTGTATTAAACTCATCACAGCAGTAGTTCACATCACGGTGTGGCAGAAGTTTCCTGATGGAGGCACTGTCATCTGAACTTTTTTACGGACTATAAGAGAAAATACAAAACTCCTGAATGCCAGTGAACCCGTCGTCAGACTGACTTTTCCATGTTTACTATTGAATTTCACTTTTAATATCTAAAGCACAAACAGGTTAACAAACAGGTACAGCTGTTTGCTAAAAAGCACAAAAATGTTTGAATTTCAAATTAAGAGTCTATATTATACAAAGTAAAATTCAATAAATCGCAGGATTCAGGGGATTTTAGGGAAGTTTTCTACTGATGCTTCTTCATCTTTAGGCGTTTTTTTTTTTCTTGCTTAAAAATTGAAATTTAAAATTGAATTTGTTATCAATCAAATATATTTACGAACAAAAATATTGTAAAATATCTTACTATTTATGTAGCATTTTTTTAAAAAAATAATGTTGTTTTAGACCTAGTTTCAAATTGAAAATCTTTAACCATGTGTTGAGGGGGACATTTGTTAAGTTTAAAAAATAAATAAATTTAAAAAAGGCAAAGTGCAGTTGGGACAAAAAGTCTAAAAAGTCTTAATTCCTGCCTTTTTTATTCCATTTCCACATCCCTTTTTTTAAATTAAAATGGCACAAAACTTTCATTTTTGATTTTCTTTTTCACCTTTTTTCATCTTTGTCATCTTCTAAAGCCCAGGCAGCAGTGAAACACTAAATTAAATTTATTTTCTTATTCTAATGACAAAGTGCAGCCTCTTGCATCTGCACAAATTACAGCTGTTCTCATCTCCCCTGCAGCATTTGCTTTAATCAAGCCAAGATTTCACAAAATACTCTTTGTTTATTCGTCCAGGAAAAAAAATTAACTCCACTCCATTCACTAAATTTATAACAGATTTTTTTATTTACATAAATGGACATTGTATTTTTTATTTTTTTAATCTAAGCAGCTTCTCTGAAGGATTTAGTGTCCTTTGAACCTCTTCTCTCTATATGACCCTGAGGGTCAGAGGTCAAGGGTTGATATACTGTGAAGTGAACTGAAGGAAACAGAGGGAAGAGCGACGGGGCAGCATCATGGGCTGTAACATGTGTGTGGTCAAACGTCAGGAGGAGCAGTACAGAGTCATGTTCCAGGTGAGGAAGGCTTCACCGTGTGTTTGTGAATAACACGTGAAAACCCCCATCCAACTCCATCACCAAATATCATCGATGAGGTCAAAGTGTGCAACTGTTCGTCTGTGTGTGAGAGCGGTTGTTGTTTAAGAGCGACTGATGTGTTGTGAGACATTTGTTGTTGTTTCTGTGTTGTGGTCTAAAAAACATGTTGCTGGAATTTTCTTTTGAAATTGCACTTGCTCCGGCCAGGGCTAATTCTAGTAGTGGGCCCGGCTCGGAGGTGGACCCAGAACTGGGCCCTCATAGAACTATGAAAAAAAGAAGAGACATGAGCTTGGGTGGGGCCCTCTGAGATGATCTTATCACTGTCAGTGGCTCTGGTTGTGCGTATGCTGTATGTATCTCTCTGAGAAAGGAGCTATCCATGGTGCTGATATGTGACTTGCTACACGTAAGTGCAGTCCCAGGACATGCAGGCACAGGTTAACTGCAAAATTCAAGTTGTCCATTGGTGTTATTGTGAGTTTACATTGTGCCGACATTCAAAAGATTAAGTGGTAGATAATGAACGGATAGGTGGATGGATGGATGGATGGATGATAGGTGGATGGATGGATGCATAAATGTTATGAATGGACGGATAGGTGGATGGATGGATGATAGGGGGATGGATGGATGGATGATAGGGGGATGGAGGGATGCATAAATGTTATGAATGGACGGATAGGTGGATGGATGGATGGATGGATGATAGGTGGATGGATGGATGCATAAATGTTATGAATGGACGGATAGGTGGATGGATGGATGGATGGATGATCATTGGATATAAGAATGATCAGTGGATGGATGGATGATGTATAGATGGATGTAGGAATGGATGTATGTGTGGTTAGATGGATGGATGGATGATGGTTGGATGGATGTGTAGATAGATGGATGTGTGAATGGATGATGGTTGGATGGATGTGTAATTGGATTTAGGAATGGATGTATGTGTGGTTAGATGTATGTGTGGATGGATGATGGATGGAAGATGAATACATCAACCAACTCCTGGTTTAACCATATGTTGCTTATTGTAAATGCTCTCGGTCATGAACTCTTGGCAACGATTTTATGACATTTACCGTGGGATATTTTTTTTATTGAGTGGAGCCATCTGTGGCACTGATCCTGAGCTCATTAGTGTCTCATCTTGCTCGGCCTGCCTCGGTATTTAATTTTTTTTTTTTTTTTACCAGCTTTTCAGCACCATTAATTTCCTTCTTTCTTCTAATCACCCACCTCCTACGTCAGCCGACACTTTTGATTTATGCAGACAGGTCAAAGGTGCAGTGTGGTACTTAATTGTTAGTGTCTTCATCTTTTTATGAATTTATCTAATTACTTTTTTCAAAGTTCACAGGGTAACAAGATGTCATTGACTCCTTCATCAACGTCTGATGATTTATTTAAGCTTAAACAGACATGCTCTTTAGGGGAACTTTGTCTTTGGACTAGATTAAAAAACTACATACCTGACGGGAAAAAGGGTGATGCTTAAGTCAAGTCATTATGTTTGTATGGCCCACAACCTCTAAAAACACATTTAGCTTCGACTTTAGCCAGTGTTTTTTTTACATTATTTCCATAAATAAGTTCATACATACAGTGGTTCCAAAGTGTAGCGTGTGGTTCAGTGTTCTACCTGTTAGCACGTCTGCCCTGTAAGCAGGTCGTCCTGGGTTTCGGTCCCCAGAGGAGCCACATACTTGGTGCTTCCACGGGATCCGTCTGTCGCCGCAGCTCTGCTGTTAACACACAAAAGCGTGGGATCAATAAAGTTCATAAAAAAAGTAAAAAACTGAAATGGGAAAAAATACGTAAATAAAAGCAAGCATCTTCAATCTGTATTAACAAGATGAGTGTAGCAGAAGGAACTTAACAAATATTAATAAAAACTAATTAGATAAAAAAAGATAGAGCTCAGAAGAAAGAGAGAGATTAAGAGAGCATGGTTTCCCCCCAGCAGTCTAGGCCTACAGCGGCAGAACTTTCACCTGAGCAGGCCTTAAATACAGTCTTGATACAGAAAAGGAAACGCTAACTTTAAACACAGAGGAAGTGTCAACCTCCCATTGCACTTTTACACTCCTGGACTCAAAAGTGGTTTCAGAGTGAAATAATGTTGTAGGCCGTTGTATGATCTTTAATATACAGCGGGGCCTGGTCATAATGAGCTTTATACGTGAGGAGGGAGCGAGTGGAGAGAACCCACGACCGATGTGATTTGGTTTCCCTTTCCGGCTCCTGTTATAACCCTCGCTGCAGCATTTTGGATTAGCTCAACGCTATTAAAGAGACTTTATGGGACAACCCGATGCAGAGAGCTTCAGTAGTTAAATGTAGATGTGAGAAAGACATCGGAAACGAGAAAACACTTTTTAATCATTATCGCAATTCTTTACCTTACCTCTGATTAACGTTAGCTCAGCTAGCCAAAAAAATAAATTGACTGATACAATGACCTTAGTGATACTGACATCTTTTTTAGCCTAATGACCAGCCAAAGGTGAAATGGTAATAAATCATTATGACAGAGCAGATGCAGCGACCTCTGATTACATTCTATTTAAATCGACATTTCGAATGGTATGGGTCCGAACTCTGAACCTTGAGGCATTCCATGGTTTCAGTGTGTCTTGAGGGATCATTTCTTAAAAACCTAATTGCTTTAAAAAAGAAAATTAAAATGTGATGGTCGATAATTATATTGTGGATAAGAGGTAGTTTGGACGAAGTTAAAGTGATTTTTTTTTTACATCTATAATCAAATTTGACAAAAAGAAAATCACAGTAAAGGGTGTTTTCCTGTAATTTTCTTGTGTAATTAAAGGATGAATCACTGACAAGAAATCGAACCGATTTGACTTTTAACTGTGAAAGTGTAAAATGTGAAAATATACTGGGAAAACCCACTTGTAGAATCACTTATTGTTTTCTCTATTCTCCATCCAAACACTCTGCCACCTCTGGATGTATCCCCCTCCTCCTCCTCCTCCTCTCCTCCAGACAGACTGCCCTCCCTTCTTTTGCTGTCACATTTGTGTCAACGGGATGCTGTTGCTGCGGTAACCGTGGTCATGAGGGAGGCTGTATTTACGTTTTCTCACAGCAGGTTTCTCTGTGTTTGTTTTCCTCTGTGTCCCTCAAACCTATTGTTATTTAACTGTATAGCATATACAGTGTTAATCTATGTTGTCTTTGTCACATATATACACATATATATGCATATATACACATATATAGACATAGACATATATACACATATATACAGACATATACACACACATATATACAAATACATATACACATATATACACATATACATACATATATACATACACATACACATTTATGTACATACATTTTTACATATATATACATATTTACATATATATACATGTTTACATATATATATACATATTTACATATACGAAGGATTTAAAGACCTTTTTTAATGCTCGGTTGAACCATTGTTTTACAGAATTTAATTATTTTGCAATCATTCCCTGGACATATTTCCAGTCTGTCTAGATTCTAGACATTTTACAGCTTTTTTTTTTTTAAATTTAAATATTTGCAAATCCAGAACATTAAGGCAGCATATTTTTTTTAAAATGTAAATATTTGCAAATCCAGAACATTAAGAGCTCATGTTCTCCTCCTTTCTCTCCTGGGGTGGCCTAATGATGTGAAGTTGCTGTCTGACGGTGTTATTCTGGCGCTCATGTTTACTTGTAGGCTTTTGTCCTACATAGCTTTAAAAATCTAAGACTCAGGGAAACAAATAATCCAATTTATTTTGCACCTAGCGTCAAATTAAAGTAAAACTGTGAATGAACGCAGAATGAGACAGAAGCAAAGAATGAGAATTAAGAATCTGAAGATAATCAGTGAGGTGATCAGCTGAAAACCCGGCTGTTAGCCCGGAACTGTTATCGACAGGCTCCGCTGTATCTCCCAGGTATATGTTCACTACTTTATCCCGCTGTCACAAAGACCTTTACGACACTCTCACACACAGGTCCAAAAAAGAAAGAAAATCATTGATTTAAGCTCGCAGGGCCACAGGAATTACTGGCCTACCGCTGCCTCCTGTGGGCAATTTGTGTCACTGCGGTAAATCTAAAAAGATTTGGCTTTTGCTCTGAGCCAACACTTGTGTCTGTGACTGTTAGCATGTTAGCAGCGGTCAGGTCTAGCCGTGCGGTCACAGACCTATTAAATCAGATTTATTTGGCCCCTAGGAAAGAATGGCTCACACACACACACACACACACACACACTCAGACCATTACGGCCGGACAATTGATTGTAGTCAAAGGTCAATAGAGACTGAAAAGTAGAGATTTCGTCCAATTCCACTGGTTCCTGTCGACTCCTCTTCTGTTACCTCCTCCTTTTTCTTTCTTTGTTTCTTTCTTCTATTTCTCGTGTTTAAGTTCTCTGTTTTTATTGTTCTCTCTGTTTTCGATTCTCACAGATTGTACTGTTTTCCCCCTCACTCCACTTGGTCCTCCTTTTCCTCTCTTCCACCTTCCATCTCTTCCTCCCTGTCCTTCCCTTTCCCCCTCTTCTTACTTTTTATATTTTAATCTGTTGATTTCTCTCCCCCCCCTTTCCATTTCTTCTTTCTTTTGTCCTTTTAATTATCTTTTCTGTCATTAACACTCTCTGGTTCCTCCCCCCTATTCCTCCCTCTGACCACTCCCTTCCACACTTGTCTGCCTCTCCATGTCATCCTCCTCCTCCGTTCCCCCTCCCCCCTTTCCCAACCTCTGCTTCTCCTAAGGGCTGTGGAAATGAAAAATGGATCCACCGCCTCATTTCATTCTCTTCAGAGAGAACTGTTGTGTGTGTGTGTGTGTTGTCAATAATGTTGTAAATGCCTGTTGAAACCCCAGGAGAGGGCCCTGACGGAGGCACAGACACACGTTCATTATTAACAACAGTGAAATAATGAGCCACAGCTCCATCTGTTCACATGTTGCAACAGCTAAAAGTCATTTCATTTAAAACTCTCTGAGAAGGAGGAGGAGAAGGAGGAGGAGGAGCTTCTCACAGATCACCCATGGTTTTATGTCCTGTTGTCTACATTTGCTGCCATTAGCTCGGTTTACAGGCATTTACTTTGCGGTTCTCAACCAAGTCTAAGTGAGGTTCATTTGAATATGGATCTGTCCAGAGTATGGGAGTAGAGTTAGAGCAGACACTGGTTGATTTGGATTGAACATAAAAGCTAGTTTTTTTTTATTTGTTTTTTTTTCCCCCACTGGACTTGATCTAGGCTGCAAACAATTTAAAGAAGTGCATTAGGAGAGCAGCAATGGGATGAGCTGCTTCCACTAAAAAAGTGATTGTGCAGGAAGTCCTGACTGTTGGCCTAGTGCAGTGGTTCTTAATTTCATTTCTGTCATGCGCCCGCTTGGGAACGGAAATGTTTTCACGCCCCCTCCAAATCCTCCTCCGATCCACACCCCCGCAAACTGAAATACTACTGCGAACCTAATAACAGGTATATTTTTTTATCTGTACGAACCACGGTATGAGTTGCTGCCACCTAGTGACTGGACGCTTGCATTCATATCATTCAAGCATTACAGCAGCGGTACACTTATGTCCAGCGTGGACATATTCTATTGGAAGTCCCTACTGGCACCTCCCCGCGCACCCCTAGGGGGGCCCGCCCCACTGTTTGAGAAGTACATAACACGAGTTAGTAACAGTGACTGCTGACTTCTTCAATAAATTATGAACTATTTCCAATACTTGCTAAGACAGAGGAGTAACACACCTCTGTGTGTGTGTGTGTGTGCCAGTAAAAGTTGGCCGACAGCTCCTATCTTTTCACCTATTAATTTCACACCTCACTCGGCTGTGATTTCTAATGTGTGGCTAATGTGTTGGAGCTTAGTCAAATTGTAAACACACACACACTTGGAAAGCCTCAGTGGTTCCATCCTATTTGATCTCAGGTCCAAAATACTGCGCAGTGTTTCTGCATTGGGGAACCAAGTAGATTTTGTGTTTCTAGACAGACGTCCTCTGTAGACCTGACTCTGTGTCGGTGTTATCACTTCTTCCGTATTATAGAAAAACCACCAGCAGTTATTTTAATACTAAAGTCAACTAAAAACACAGTCCACGCAGAAAGCTGAATGCAGTTGGTAATTTCAGAAATAAGTGTCTGCTTCATCAGGACCAGACTTGTGAGTTGGTCCGACAGGGTAGGACTGTGACAAGTGAAGCACAGACGCCAGGAGACACACAGACCAAAGCAGACGTGCACCGCTGTCGTCTGAGGAAACAAGTTAGGTCAGTGAGTTGGCCCTATCTTAATTGCGGGTGAAACACGTTCACTAAGCCGGTAGTGATTATTTCGGTCTGTGATTATTGATCGTTCGGCTGTTCTCACACACACAAATAACACACACACACACAAACTCTGACAGCCAATGGAGGCCTGTAATGCATAACAATAAGCTCAGAAACAAAGGGAAGGAGGAGTCGCTGTTGGACGTGCATGTGTGTGTGTGACCGGCAAACTACAATGTGCATTCACTCACCTGCTTCATCTGTCAGGTGACATTACGCTAACACGTGACAGCTAATACTACACACTCCGAACGTCAAGATAATGACATTTTACACGATCCCTCGCACAAATACAAACTACACGCAATGCATAATTAAGCAGGAACAAAATCTATAAATAGGACCATTGATGCCCTTGGATTCATATATATCAGGGGGGCACATCAGCAATACAGTTCCCCTTAAAGGGCTGGTTGTAAACGGTAGACTGTATAGCTGTAATTACTCCGTAACGTAATAATAAATGTTTCTGGAATTGATTACTATTTATTCAAGTTACAAATAATGTGAATGGTTAAGAAACTCAAGCAGCATGGACTTTATTAAATGCATTTTTAAGCTCCTGCGGGCCATACAAAATGACTTGGCAGGCCACATTTGGCCCCCGATCCTTGAGTTTGATACGTGATATATATAATTTGAATTATGTAATGTAATGTTTTACTGAATTGAAATAAAAAAAATACTTCAGACACTGTTGTTACCTCCCTGCGATTGTAGACATATTGTATTAAAAAGCAGCTCATCGACTCGTCTGACCTTGACTTGGTCTCTCAGTCTGACCGTCTCCCTCTTTGTCTCCAGCAGAAACAACTCTGGAACAACTCTCTGCGGCCAATGGACAGAGAGGGCAACATGAAGGTAGGACATGTGTGGATGTTCACTTTTCTCTGTCCTCCACCATCAGTTGTCCTGAATTAGCTTCTCCTACTGTTTGGCCCAATGTATCTAAGGAAGGTTTTAATAAGTGACAAGAGCTGCAGATTACTTTCTGACATACAGGGGGCGATAATAAAATGTAATGTCATGAATATCCTTTTCTCTTCTACCGAAGCATTAAATGTAACATCTCATAAATCGAATCAATCTTTTTTTTTTTTTACCCTCAGGTCAGAGGTCGGAGAACTTCTCAGGCTCCCCTAGACCGACCACAGAACTCCCAAGAGCATTTGCAGCAGCCAGGCCTGGGCCACAAGAGTAGCAAGAGAAAAGGTGAATCAAAGTTCCAATACTTATTTCAGTTCCTGCTACTACTACGGATACACCTTCGGAAATCGTGGAAGAGATGCCCCAAGAAATGGCACCACCCTCTGAAGAGACGTAAAATCAATCATCGGCTGCTCAGTAAAAGTCATCATCACCTTCCTCATCATTTTACTGCTCATAAATATGGTGTCACTACTTCGCAGAAATTCAGTTCTCGCGGCAGGTCTTGGAAGCTAGCTACCACGGTAAACGAGGGACCACTGTACTATGTAATATAGTATAAATACCTAAGGTGTGTTTTAATATAACTTTTTTGACAGGCAAGCTTTCAGGGGCAGTAGTGACCTGGTGGTTAAGGCAGTGGTTGCCTTGTTTGCTTGCTGCTTTAGGTCGCCGAGTCAATTTGATTGACACCGATTCCGTCCCCTTAGCTTGAGCTGCCCCCATGCTAACTATGGTGATGGGTTACAGTATATGCAGGGCACACGTTTTGTTGTGTGGAGCGGTGTGCCGCGTCACAGTGACAGATAAATCACTTTCACTTTCAGTAAGTGTGTGCTATGCTCCTCAAAGGTCAGGTCAGAAGGTCAGCTCAGGAGGTCCATGCTATTAAAAAAAACCCCATTGCTTAGAGACCCAGAGCCTCTCTTTGAACTCAGAGATAAATTCAACCTCAATCTTCTGCCATGTTTTCATATCCGTCAACGTTTCATTCCCTTAGGTCCGTTAGGGTGCGGGGCCAACAGAACAGGAAGTTCCTCGCTGTCCTCTGTTGCCCTAGTGACGATTCCTGACTGCACGGACAACGCCACGCAAACTGACATCAGCTTCCAGAACATCACAGCACCGGCGGGGAGGAGCAGGGGTCACCAACACTCTCACCATCAGGGGCGAAGAGGCTTCTCCTCTTCTCCACCTCATCCACCTACGACCCCTCTCCATCATCTCGTGGGACCATACGGGATGAATGAGTTGTACGTTCCCTGACCTACAATCATTTCAGAGGAGTAATATAAAAACATGTATCGATTGTTAAGAGTGTTCCTGGGTTTTGTCCGTCTCTCCTGCAGCTGCATGTTTGACTACAACGCCAATGACTACTTTGACGTCTCCAACCATGAAGTGGACAGACAAAATGACCTGGAGTACGAGGTGACTGCATATAGAAAAAAAAAAATACATTGACTTTAGTTTGACAACATTTTTTGGAACACATAACAAACACATCCACTGCTACGCAGACGACACCCAACTCTACCCGCACAGCGAACCCACGCTTACCATCCCACACACTTCTATTTCGGACTGTTTGCAGGAAATCACCTCCTGTTTTTTTAAATAACTTCCTTCAATTGAACAGCAATCAAACAGGAATCCTCCTTCAAAAGAATTCATCTCCTTATCCGTTCAGATTTACAACACCTCAGGTTCCAGTTCAAGAGACTGAGTGCCATCCTCAATAGACTCTCACCTTGCAGTTCCACATCAAGCGATATCACCTAAGAAACATCTCCCAGCTCCACTCAAGGCAATAGTTCCCAAAATGCATCTTCAGAACTTACAAGCTCTCAGTATCTACTGAAGAGATGAGAATGTTATTCGCCGAAGGAACAGATTTTTACAACACATCTGAAGATTTTACAGCCATTTTTGGAGACTGTTGAAAATGCTTTAGTTACTTATTACTCATTTTATTTCCTCCGTCACTGATTTGTAATTCAGTATTCTCTAAAGTTGACATTAGCTTCTGTTCCCTGAATTTGTAGCACCAGATATAATTTGGTCAATTACTTTTTCACCAGTGTATTATTTTTTTTTAAATAACACATTGTTAGTTTTGTAAATGATAATACATGTAGTGAGAAGTGCTTTTAAAATAACGTACACCAGAGGCTGACAATTTACAGTAATGAAAAATGATCCTGGTAAGGATGGGAACACAATTCTTTCTGCTTGTACAGCAAAATTATCTACAGTCCTCTGAAATGTCACTGAAAAAAAAAAAACAGTGCTGTGGCCCTAATGAACCCATTCAGTTTTAGCTGAGTAGCCCCTTTTTTCTCCCATATTCCCTGCTTCACTGATTGGCTGCTGTTTCCTTAGGAAAAGTCATTACTGAAGGCAGCGAGGTGATGCGCAAAGACAGAACGTGCCATCTTTTTTTTCCCAAAATTTTAAAAGTAAAACATTTTTAGACTCTGAATCTGAATGAGTCTGAATGACCTTTTGTTTTGAAACATTGACAAATTATCTTTAAATGAAAAAAGTAAAGGGATATCCTGTCCTACTACAGCCCAGTACCATATGACCTATGGACTAGTACTGGTCCCTGCACCAGGGGTTGGAAACCCCTGATCTACTTCATCCATCCTCTCATCCAGCATCCCCTTTTAGTGTTAATCCAAAGTTGTTTTTTTTCTCTAGGAGGTGGAACTGTATAAGTCCAGTCAGCAGGAGAAGCTGGGGTTGACAGTCTGCTACAGGACGGACGACGAAGATGACCTGGGCATTTATATCGGAGAGGTGAGGAAAACCTATTGATCATCCCATCAATCTATTGACCTCGAGCTGCCGCTACTTATTATTTATCATATAATGTCTCTCTCTCTTCAGGTAAATCCAAACAGCATCGCCGCAAAAAATGGACGAATCAGAGAAGGCGACAGAATATTACAGGTAAAAAAAAAAAAGAAAAAAGAAATTATATACAACAAAATGGAAACAACAAAATCCTGCATTGAGGGTGACACAAGTTTACCGTTAGAAATCAGATATTTTTTCCGTGATGTTTGAAAGCTGTTCTGTGTCGACCTCACGTCAAAACTATTCATTTAAAGATGAGATCTACCTGTGTTCCCAGAAGGACCATTCTGACCATGTAATTTGCACCAGGAAATGTAATGTGAGGTCTCATTGCAGGGGTCTGTGATTAATGAGTGTGTGTCGACCTTCAGGTCAGTGAAGAAAGTTCCTGCCAAATGGATTTACACAAAAAGAGTCCCTGACGTGTTCACGAGCATCATGTGGGATTACGTTAATGTTAAATTGAAATATGTAAATTCACACCTGAGCTCCACGGGACAAGCTGTTCCAATCAAAAAGACATGCACACTGCCCAGTTACTGTTGCACTAAAAATAGACAGAGAGAGAAAAGGGGGAGTGGGGGAGGCAGATCCTTAAAGGAGGAGGAGGACAAGAAGTTAAAGTTGAAAAAAAAAATGAATGAGGCAAACATTAACGCACTTTCTGTCCAGAGTTACTGTAAAAGACCTGTGTTTATGCTGAGCCTAGATTAGGGGTGCCAAACATACGGCCCGTGGGCCAAAACCGGCCCGATACGGGTTACAATCTGGCCCACTTGATGAATTATGAAAGTGAAAAAACACATGTTCATGATATTTTTTTCAAATTATATTTCATTAAATATGAATATTTTTATATATACTTGTACTTATTTGCATTAAAACAAGGGAGGAAAATCATGGCCTTATTGTTATTAATAGGTAACTATGTTATGATTGTACTGGTCCAGCCCATATGACGTCTAATCGGGCCGTATGTGGCCCCCTGAACCAAAATGAGTTCTGGTTCACACACACCAAATTCCTGACAAACACATTCACATGAGCAGTTTTTCAGATGTTGTTTTTTTTACTTTTTTTGTATGACGCAACCAGACTCATTTTATTTGTCAAAGATATAAATGTCCTCAGGCCAAAACTCGGCAAACGCAGCGCTGAGTTCGACTGAAAAGTTTAACAATCCTGACCACCTGACAACTGATATGTGACTGTCGTCAATGCTCAGCTCCTAAAAATAGAGTGGATTTATACATAGAACAGTGAACAGGATATGACAAAGGAGTGGGAAGAAGCTAATATTAAACGCTCACAGCCCCACACAACACACACACACACACACACACACACACAGACACAATGACCTCCAACACATGGAGATAAAAGGACAAGTTACAAATGTAGCTCATCGTCACTGAGCATCGTCATGGTAACCCTGTGGTCAGGCCGGGTGACATCAGCAGTAACCATAACAACAAGGATACCTAGCTGATCACAAATTATTGAAACATATATACTATTTTTGTATATTGTGCATGTTTATGTTTAACAAACTAACACAGCGTTCCCCCTTGGTCTCCTGCAGATAAACGGTGTGGACATTCAGAACAGAGAAGAAGCTGTGGCCATTTTGAGCAGAGAAGACAGTATTAACTTCTCTCTGCTGTTGGCTCGACCTGACACTGAGGTAAAACGCAAAACGACAGCAACACAACCACAACAGAACACGAGGAACCTGAAAAACACCAGCCATAGCAGCAAACACTGAGAAGACGGGGTGAAAATGACCCGTGGAGTTCAATAGTGGTAACTGGTAGCTTAAAAGCAGCTAAGAAATTAAGCTACTAGTTAGTAAATAAATAATAATAATAACAACGTGAGAAGAACATAATCTACAGTTCGAACATTTATGTCCGAAAGGACTTAACAGAAACACTCCGTTTCAGAGCCTTTATTGTCGGGTTCTAAAATTTCCGATGGTACCTGAAAGCCCCTAATTGCGACAAATGTTATACACGTTATTTCAACAGTGCTTCGACTTATTTTCATTTGAAACACTGAAAACATAACAACTTGTTCCTCAAGTTCAGTTACCTTTCAGATTGCGATTTTGCGAGTTAATTTCAGACAGCCCTAAAAGATCACGATCCACCACAAGAAAGAGAAAATATAAATATGTTCTTCAAAGAAAAAAATTACAATTTATGAGTCTAAACCCAAATAATGCTCAAAATGTTGTAGTAAAATTGCATTTTTTTTTTTTTGGTTTCTTAAAATTGTTTTTTTTTTTAAAACATTTTCCCTAAAGATATTTTCCTGATAGCTGAAATTTTACATTTTTTATGCTTTACAATAGGAATTGTATATATATATATATATATATATATATATAAAATAAACGTCACTGTAGAAAAACACATTTTCCACGTTGGATCATTAGCATGCAGTGCCAGTGTTTGGTTCTACACATCACAAATGACATGTAATGTTCACACAGCCATGACAAATGTGTCAGCAGCTCCCCGAGTGTCCACATGTGCTGACAGAGGGGGAACTGCAGGACGATAAATTCATACACTTATTCATCTGTGTGTGTGTGTGTGTGTGTGTGTGTGTGTGTGTCGGGTGAAGGGAATGTGTGTCAGACTCTACTCTGACACTCTACTCACATGATCAGAGAACAAGTGATGGATGTTTCCTCAACTCAGCAAATCACACATGAACAGCAGCTCCATGCGCACGCACACACACGGGCGAGTCTTAAGTCAGGGCATGGATTCCTTTGTGCGTACGACAGGCTGTGAAAGATGTTAAATACACAACATCATTCTTTTTTAGTTTTATGCATTTATGAATGTATACGTTTGGAGAAAATGAAAGAAATGTTTATATATGTTTACACTTTTACTTTGTACAAATTAAATGAAAAAGAAAGAAAAGTGCGAACAAAATTAATATTACGATATATTAACGCGTAAATACCTACTGCTGAGTCAAGCAGGAGGTGACGGATGGATGGAATGATGGAAGAGTGATGGATGAAGAGAGGAAACAGAAAAGTGGTCATTTATCTTTAGGATGATATTTTCATCAAATACCATGTACCATGTCTCAGACCTGAGTGTTGGATTGTGGGTAAATAACCCCATGTGTAAACTGGCATCAGTGTTAACTGAATGGAAATACATTGCATGTCATTCACAAATGAATGAATGTGACAGCATTAATTCACATTAATTTAGCCTCCACATTTTCAGTATCAGTTCCATGGTGATTAATTTCAGTCCTGAACGGTATTAAAAAAATATATATAAAATAATGTATTTTTGATTTTGACTTCAGGATGAGGAAGAGCTGGAGCTGACAGTAGAGGACGCAGTTTTCCAGCCCAACACTCGGGCCTCCACCTGCTCCGTCAGCTCCTCCCACATCCCTGGCTACTGTAGCTTTCGCCTGGCAGGAGGAGGGAGTGCAGAAGGCCCCGGGTTGGAAGTACAGGATGAGGAAGAGGATGAAGAGGAGGCAGATAGAGGACAGAAGGAGGACCAAGATCCTCCTGTCCCTCTGCCTCCATTACTCAGTCTGGCTCCTCTGCTGTCTAATAGCCAGGAGCTGGACAGCGGGGTGGGTCGCACCGATGATAGCACTCGCTGTGAGGAGCTGTCTGAGCAGGACCAGCTGGGAGAGCAGACCAGCGCCTGTAACACCAACACCACCAACACACCAGGGAGCACAAGGAAGTTCAGAGTTGGACACAGTCCCAGGTACTGGTGTGTTGCAACTCGGGGTCTGAAGTATTTATCTATCATCATTATTGGCAGCAGTTTATTTTCCTTGCTGTGCAGACAACAGCGGGAAATGATGAATAATGACCCTGTAGACCAGGGATTGGGCAAAGCTTTTTCATTCACTGGCATCAATTAGGTTCAAAAAGTTTAAGTTGGATGTAGAACTAATTTGAATAAAATGCACAAGATTAAACCTAAAATTCAATATTCAAATTCTGCATGGCCTTGAATGGTCCAGTGGCTGGGAATGTCTAAACAGAGAGCCCTCTAATAAAAGTAAATTGTGTCTGCTGACATCTGGTGGCCTAAACCGGAATTGGTGTCGATGTTTTGCAATGAAGGAAAAAAAGGATTGAAATCAGTCATTACTAGGGATGTCCGATATTATCAGACAACAGATATTATCTGCTGATATTAGCATAATTATGTAATATCGGTTAAAATAGTTTCAGGTTTTTCCATGGTGATGAAAACTGAAATTAAAGTGAAAGTGAACTTTTGCCATTGTGACACAGCACACCGCTGCACATATGAGGAGCCATTTATCGGTTGATATCAGAATTGGAAATTAGGTGTATGGACAATATCGGCATATCGAATACTGACAAAAAATATTTTGTGTTTTTATACGCTATGTGAATCTCATGGCGATGAGCATTGATGCAATTTTTTTTAAAGGATGGGGCAGTTCATGTGTGCCCCTGTATATCATGTGGCTCTTTGCAGTAACACGGTAAAAGATTGTGACTCTTGACTGGTTGGTCCCCCCTGTTCTAGATCATCCATCCATCCATTATCCTCCTTATTTGTCTCCTCTTCTCAGACTCAGTCCCAAACCCAGTCCTGGCCTGACACCTAGTCCCAAACCAACACCCAGCCCTGGGTATGGTCGAGGAGATGCCACTCCTCCTTTCCTGCACCTGCGAGATCTCCAGCTCAGCAATGAATCTCTCCTGGGGCTTGAAAGGGCAGCTGGTGGCGCAGCGTGCAGCCCCCATCCTCACTACAAGGTACAGTGGCTGAACATGTTTAAGGGTCAGTTCAAGCTTTTGAATTGTAGATAAATACAGGGGCTTGAAAAAACAGATGTTAACTACCAAAGATAAGACAGCTGAAACATTGTTCCCATGGGGGCTGATTATGTCCCATTATCTCATTAAAATACTGGAACAACTTTAAACCATTCAAAGGCATTTTAAAAATGGGATAATTATGAGTTATGTGTTCTCCAACTCTGTTCACTGACTAATCTTTGACCCTCAGCACTACCATCACCATCCGCCATCGCCAATGACCATGAGAATAATGGTGCCTGGTCTGACCGAGGAGGAGTGTCAGAGGTACCAAGAGCTGCTGGAGATCAAATGTCAGTACGAGAGACACAACGACAAACAGCAAAGAGTCAAGAAGACAAGAGCGAAGAAAGATTGTAAGGCCGGAGCACCGGAGCAGCAGGAGGACACGGAGGACGCACAGCAAAAAGAGGAGAAGAAGGAGGCCACAATTTCTTCCTCAGATGTAGATCTGAACTGCAACAAAACCTTCAGCGAGCACGAGATGGCACTGATCGAAGAGGAGCTGCGCCACCTGGAGTTTAAGTGCCGCAACATCCTCCGAGCTCAGAAGATGCAGCAGCTCAGGGAAAGATGCTTAAAAGCCTGGATGATGGAGGAGTCAACTGCAGCAGTGGGTGGGGCGTCACATCTAGAATCAGGTGACTGTTACGATCACTCGCACAATTAGATAGCACAAAGTGATTGACCGACTTAGCTGTAAGTCACTTAGTGATTCAAAAGCAGGTAAAAAATAGGAGATAAACACTCAGAGATTTACATACGAAGTTTTGTTCCAGTAAAAGTATTTCACTTAACACCGTTTATTATGAGCCAGAGAATTTTGCCGGAACATCCATGATGGAATATTAAATGAGCAGACATGGGCAGACACCCTTTTGTTCTGCCTTGCAACTCGATAACAGTAATTTCAGATGATGCCACTAGTTGGCAGAAGACGCAATTCATTTACGCTGGAAGGTGGCATATCTCTCTGCTTTGGACGCCACCAGCTTAGAGACAATTCAGGCCGCACGGAAAGAGACTACAGACTATAGCGGTCACTTTGACCATTCAAACCTTATACGCATAATACTTAAACAATTAACATAAGTTCTACTAATAAACATGTCTGCAATGTAAGTGATAAACATCAGGACAAAAAAAATGGGATTTCTAAGAAGTAAGAAAAATATTTTAATTGAACAACAAACTAGTAATTACAGACAAACTTTACAAAAAAAAGTTTTATAAGTGCTGATCAATTTGTCAAGACAAAAATATATAATAAAATATATTTTTAAATAATTTATAAACCCCTTAGAAACTATCTTAAATTAGATGTTAAATTCCCTTAAGCTAGATGTGTTTGTGACACGTTTGTCTCATTAACCTCTCTGTGTGAGAGCAGACGTCAGTGAACCAAACAACACAGACTATTTCGATGACGAAGGCCACAGATCTGTCAGAGTTCCTACCAACAAACTCACAACAACTACGTACAATGCTAAACAGGGAGCCAAATTTTTGGTTTGATCCAACCGATACTGAGCGGGGCCACAAAGAGTTTGCCCACCCCGGTCTTCAGTCTAATACAGATGTGCTGTGGGTCCGTACAGGAAGAGCCAGACGGTGAATGGACAGCACTTATTTATGGTAGTGTCTGTCTGCTTCCGACCTCCTCATTTGCTGAAATTGATGTGCAAGGTCGACTTCCCCGGAGTCACAGGGACATAAATCTGATAGATTCTCTTATCACACAATATTAAGGTGCAAGGTGCGAGACAGCCACAGAGCAGAGGGCTTTCTCAGAAAAGAAACGCCACAGTGGAGGTTGTAATTGCATGATGCAAGAACAGTACAATTAGTCTTAAATAATTTGACAAAAGAATCCAGTTTGACTACAGTTCAGAAATCAATCATTTAGATCAGGGGTCACCGACGTGGTGCCCGGGGTCACCTGGTAGCCCC